TTTAGGGTTTAGTTTGGGGGTCTGAGGTTCAGTTTAGGGTTTAGTTTAGGGTTCTGAGGTTTAGTTTGGGGGTCTGAGGTTTATTTTCGGGTTTAGTTTGGGGGTCTGAGGTTCAGTTTAGGGGTTTGAGGCTCAGTTTAGGGTTTAGTTTGAGGGCCTGAGATTCAGTTCAAGGTTTAGTTTGGGGGTCTGAGGTTTAGTTTAGGGTTTAGTTTGGGGGTCTGAAGTTTAGTTTAGGGTTTAGTTTGGGGTTCTGAGGGTTCTGAGGTTCAGTTTAGGGTTTAGTTTGGGGTTCTGAAATTTAGTTTAGGGTTTAGTTTGGAGGTTTGGGGTTTAGTTTGGGGTTTTACAGAGTTTCTGCAGGTTTCTTCCTTTGCCTCTTAGGGAACAAAACTAACATTGAAATAGCCCAAAAAATCAACATTGATCCAGGTTTTCCTGCAATTCCAAAGCCCCTTCCAGCCCAGGGGTGGCTGTTGATGCCCAGGGGATGGCAGGGATTGGGGTGGGTGTCACCCTGAGGACAATCCCCATGGATTTCACCCCCCTCTCACTAATTAAACGAGTTTAATGAGCAGATTGGGCCCATCTCACACCCACAGCCGGACTTTCCCGGAGGGGTAATTCCCAAGGGAAAACTTCCCAGGAAGCAACTCCAAGAGCAAGAGGAGGGACGGGCACTACCCAGCTGGACTAACTTCCCGTGGGCAGGAAGGAGGAAAAACCCCCAAAATCCAGGAGACTTTGGTTCAAAGCAGCCACTGGGAAGTTGTGGATGGAGCCGGAGGAGGGAGACGGGATCCGGGAGTGGAGTTTAGGGATGATGAGCTGGGAGAGAGGGTTGTGTGGGTCTTTTCCACACTAAATCCCACCTGAAGCCCTTCCTGATGTGTCAGGCCAGGAGGCACCTGCACCCCAAAAACAGGCACCCCCAATATTCCATTGGGGAATAACGACAGGGAAGAAAATTGATGGGAAACAGACCCCAAATTTAACATTTATCCAGGTTTTCTTACAATTCCAAAGCCCCTTGGAGCCCAGGGGTGGCTGTTGATGCCCAGGATTGGGGTTGGTGGCACCCTGAGGACAATCCCCATGGATTTCACCCCCCTGTCACTAATTAATTATTGTAGACCCATTATTAATTATTCCATTGGCTCCCAGGGGACAAAACTAATGAGAAACACACAGAAATAGCCCCAAAATTAACATTTATCCAGGTTTTCTTGCAAGTCTCAAGTCTCTTTGAGCTCAGCAGTGGGTGGTGATGCCCAGGGGATGGTCCTTGGTTCCCATGGATCCCACGGGGACACCGAACCGGCCCCCGGGATCCCACGGGGACACCAAACTTGCCCCCTTCAATCCCACGGGGACACCAAACTTGCCCCCTTCAATCCCACGGGGACACCAAACTTGCCCCCTTCAATCCCACGGGGACACCAAACTTGCCCCCTTCAATCCCACGGGGACATCAAACCAGCCCCACGGATCCCACAGGGACACCAAACTGGTCCCATGGATCCACCCCTGGCACCCCACAGCCACCCCTGGCACCCCACAGCCTCACCTTCCGAGCGCTCCCGTTCTTGGGGCCGTGCAGGAGGATGAGGCCACCGTCCCTGTCCCCATTCCTGGGGCCATCCAGGTTGTCCTCCTCGGGGGGCATCATCTCCAGGGATGCAGCATCCACAGAGTAGGGGAGTGGGCCCACAGTTGGGGGCTCCTCTTCACCCCACAGGGTGGTTTGGGGGCTCCTCTTGACCTCACACGGTGGTTTGGGGGCTCCTCTTGACCTCACACGGTGGTTTGGAGGCTCCTCTTGACCCCACACGGTGGTTTGGGGGCTCCTCTTGACCCCACACGGTGGTTTGGGGGCTCCGTGACCCTTCCTTAGGCTGCTCTGTTTGTCCTGGACTAGCCCCCAGTCCTGTCCTAGGTTTAGGAGGGGGCTTAAACCCCCTCTAACCCCTGCTCTGTTCCTCTGGAATTCCCCCTGCCCTTCACATCTGGCCAGATGTGAGCCCACAGCCCCTGCAGAGATATCCCAGGGAAAGGGTGGGACACAAACCCCACAGATCCCCTTTTTAAAGCTACCCCAGGTGGGGGGGGGGGGGGAATTTAAACCCCCCAAACTCCCCTTGCAGAGCAACCCCAAATATGGGGTTAAACTCTTCTTGCAAGAGCTGCCCTAAATATTGGTGGGGATTTAAACTCCTCTTGCAAGAGCTGCCCTAAATAAGGGGGGGTGTTTAAACCTCCCCAGACCCCCTCGTAGAGCTACCCTAAATAGGGGGAAGGTGTATTTAAACTACCAAAAACTCGCCTTTCAGAGCTACCTCAGATGGGGGGAACCCCCAAAACTCCCCTAAATGGGGGGAGAAGGTTCAAACCCCCAATAATTCCCCTTTCAGAGCTACCCCAGCTCGGGAGGGGGGGTTAAAGTCTCCCAAACCCCCTTTACAGAACTGCCCTAAATGGGAGGGGGATGTTAAACCCCCAATCCCCCTGTAGAACTACCCTAAATGGGGGGAGAAGGTTCAAACCCCCACTAACTCCCCTTTCAGAGCTTCCCCAGCTGCGGTGCGAGGATTAAACCCCCCGCCCCTTGCAGGGCGACCCCAAAAAACGAGGGTGTTTAAACACCCAAGAACTTCCCTTACAGAACTACCCCAGCTGCGGAAGGGGGTTAAACCCCCCAAAACCCACCTTGCAGAGCTCTCTACAGGGGTTAAACCCCCTCCCCTTACAGAACCACCCCAAAAGGAGAGTGGGAACCCCCCAAAACCCCCCTTTCTAGAGATGCTCCAGCCACGGGAACCCCCCAAACTCCTTTAAAGGGCCAAACCCCGCCGCCCTACAAACTCTTCTGCGTTAATATCCCACCTCGGACGACCCCAAAGTCTCGGCTCGGTGTCCTCGCTCAGCCCCGGAGCCCCCGCCCGGCCCCGCCGATCCCAAATCCCGGCGCGATCCCAGAGGCGGCTCCCTCGCGGCGCGGGGGATAAGCGGGGAGGGGGGGCGGGGCGAAGCCCCCTGTCAGCCAATGGGAAAGCGGGACGGCGCTGATGGACGGCGGCACCGCCCAATGGGAGCGCGGGGGGGCAGGACCGGAGGGGCCGTTGCCCCGGGCAACGGGGGGAATTAGAACGCGGGTGACGTCACCGGAGGAGGGACTTGAGGCCGCGCCCACGGGCGGGCACAGATGGGAGCGGCCCCGCCCCCGCCACACATCTGGGGAGGCGTCCGAGCCCAAACATCCCAGCCACATCTGGATGAGCCCAATTACAACCAGGAGCCGCCCCCCTGTCTCGACCACATCTGGATCTGGGCTCTGCTTCTGCTCCCTGAGTAACAGCTGGAACGGGTTCCCTCCCACCCTGGACACATCTAGATGACCTCCCGCCACAACTAGGTGCCCCCTCACCATCCCAAACACATCTGGGTGCCCGTCCTGCTCCACAACCCACACCTGGGCACCCGTCCGATCTCACCTTGGGCACATCTGGATGATCCCATCTACAACCAGGAGCCGCCCTCGACCACATCTGGGTGCCCCTCCCACCTCCCTTATTACATCTGGGTGTGTATTTGATCCCACCCCAGGCACATCTGGATGACCCCAACTGCAACCAGGTGCCCCTCTCACATCTGGGTGCCCCTCCCACCTCCCGTGCTACATCTGGGCGAATGTCCACTCCTACCCCGGACACATCTGGATGAACCCACCCACAACCTGGAGCAGTTCTGCAACATCTGGGCCGGTTGTGCCCTTGCCCTGCCAAAGCCACCAGGGGTTTCTCCTGTACAAACCATGACATAACATGAAATATAATTAAAAAAATACGTGAAGAAATAAAATACAATCCATTTTATTCTTTTTTCCAGGCCAATCCTGCCCCATTTTCCCCCTCTGAGCTGTTGTCCCCACGAAAAGGCCCATAAGTGATTACCTGAACCTTAATTAAGTTAATGAGCCCAGGCTTGGGTGGGATGAATCCCACTGATGTCAATGGGACACAAAGAATTCCAGGCAGATCCAGCTGTTTAACAAGGGGGAAAAAATTAGCCCAGCATTAATTTTTTTTATTTATTATATATTTATATTTATATGTAATGTATTTTATATAATTTTATATTATTTACCTTTATTATTTCTATTTTTCTATTTAATATATTTTCTATCATTAATAAATAATTTATATTCATTATTCATATTTATTTAATTTATAACTGTCTAAACATATTAAACCGAATTCCACCTTTCCCAGTCATTTTTTTTCCTCATTGGGGCATCAAGGATTGTGTGATCCCAAAGAAAGGAATATATTAGGAAGGGTTTTCTCTCTCTCCTGGATTTCCCAATCCAGAAGGAGCTGCTGGACCAGAAAGGTGGAATTATTGATTAGGAAATCTTGAGATATTGGCACTGATACATCCCCAAACTGCTCATTGTGGTGCCACCAAACTGTGCAGAGACCTCATTCCAGTCTGGTTTTCCCAAGGGATGATCCAGCCCCACTTTGTGGTCCATGTTCTCTGGATGGAGCCATCCTGCTTCCATTCCCCCAATTCCAAAGGGAAAATCCATCAAAATCCATAAAACTCCTCTTAATGATCAAGAGCTTTGCCCCAAGTCATGCTTGGGTTGGACGGACGAGCAACTGGAGCTGATCCAGGTCAGGACAAGCTTTTCCCAGCTCACCCACCCTGTAAATCCCACTTTTTCCCATCATGGAGATCTCAGGCTTGGGAGAAACCTTCTCCAAGCTGAACAAATCTTATGGAATCCATGGAAAATGGAAGCACATTTAACATAAGCCAGTCCCCGGGTTGGAAGGAGGCGGCCGAGGGTGAACAAGCCCCGGCACGAAGTTGTCCTTCCCTGCTCCCCCTCCCACCCCTTCCCAACCTTTCTCATCCAGCAGGAAAGGTGGCTTGGATGCATTTTTCCTGGGGTGGTGCAACAGGGATCAAAGAGGCTTTCCCAGAGCCAGCCCTGCCTCCAGGACTTTCCCCTCCCGGCTCCTTCCCAAGGGAACACATGGCCCCGCTACTCGTCCCGAATGGGGATCTCAGCAGGGAGCAATGACTCTTACTGGCCCCAGATCCAGCTTTTTCCTGGAATTATAGAATGGTTTGGGTTGAAATGGGCTGTGAAGATCCCTCTGTCTGGTAGGGGGAAGAGATTATTATGGGATGCCTCAGGGAATGAGGTTGCCATGAGGAGCATCTCCCAATCCAGGGCCACCAAATCTCAGACAAACAGAGATGATTCCTATTGTGCCAGAAGAGGTTTGAATGGATGGAATGAGCCTCTGAAAGACCCCTGGATAAAATAAACCCTGTTTGGGAAGGCACAAGGCTGGGAAGCTGAAGAGGATGGAGATTCCAAGCCTGGGCAAAGCATGAGCAGATCCCTCCAGGAATCATGGAATGTTTGGGTTGGAAGGAGTCTTAAAGATTGTCTCATTCCAATCCCCTGTCATGGGCAGGGACACCTTCCACTAGCCCAGGTTGCTCCAAGCCCCATCCAGCCTGGGCTTGGATACTTCCAGGGATGCAACAGCCACAGCTTCTCTGGGAATTCCATTTCAGACCCTCACCACCCTCCCAGCCAAGAATTCCTTCCCAAGATCCCATCTAACCCTGGGAAGCCATTCCCTGTGTGCTGTCCCTCCATCCCCTGTTCCAAGTCCCTCTCCAGCTCTTCTGGAGCCCCTTTAGGCTCTGGAAGGGGCTCTCAGGTCTCCCTGGAACCTTCTCTTCCCCAGGCAGAACATTCCCAATTTGGGAAAAGCTTTGCTGTGCAAACCCCTGTTGTCCCTGTGCCCCAACTTCTGTTGTCCCTCTGCTCCATCCCCTTCCCAGGTGTTCTCCTTAGGCCTGGCTGAGGATGGATGAGCCCATTCCATGCTCAGCTGCAATGAGGTTCCTGATGACCCCCATGGGCAGGTGGAAGCAATGGACTCATCCCATGAATAGGGCTGGAGAGGAGCCCTGGGAAGGGTTTCAGGATGAGGGTTGGAGGCACCAGAAATCACCGTCCTATGGGATCTGGGCTCTGCACCACTGTTTGGGCTCCGAGACTCCTCCAAATCCAACCTGATGGATGAAAAGCAGCTGGATTTGGGAATAATTTAATTCTGTGATTGGAGAGGGAGGACTTCCTGCAAGGTAGGTTTTCCTAAATTATTTTTAAATCCATATATTTGGCCCCATCCTCCACCTGAGGGGTGCAAAGCATTCCCCCCTGGGGGTCTCCTTGCTGCTGCTTAAGGGGCTCTCCCTAAATTTGGGGCTAAAACTTTCTTTCCCAGGGTGCATTTTGGGCTGGGAACCTCCCATCAGGCTCGGGGGGCCTTAAGTAAACTTCCTGGAGGAGGGAATTTCCCTCGGGAAGGTGACTGGGTGAGGTCTCCTCTACTCTGGGTGGGTTTGGGGGAACAAGTTGGTCCCACCAGCAGCTCTGGGTGCTCCTGGTGCAACAAAGTCTGGGAAAACGTGGAAGTTTTCCAAGTGTTTTCTACTCCTTGAAAAGTTTAGCTGATGTTTTCTGGTGCTTTGGCTCTTTCTTCCTTGAGAAGTCCCATTTTTTTCCTTAGCAGGGGAGGTTTTTCATGGAGTGGGAGGACCGCCTGGGTGTTTAATATTAGCCTTATTTCCTCCATCCTCTGGGTTTCCACGGGGAGCAGGGATTTGGGAGGGTCTGGATGTTGCAGCCACAGGAAAGGGAGGTGAGAGCTGGGGGATCTCTCTGCTCTGCTGAATTACTTTCCAGCATGATGGGAGCTGGGAATTCCTCCCGAAATTCACAATTTAGGGGGATTTCCCTTGGTTTTTTTTTAGCAGGAATTTTATTTTTCCCACCTCCCAGAGCAGCTCAGGGGCTGAACTCAAGGATTTCTTGGTCTCTTTGGGTCCTTGTTAAAGCTGAGCTTGACCCTTTGGGGTTGAGCTTTTGGGGTTTTCTCTGGGAGAAAATTTGGGATTCTACCAGCCCCGGGGTGTCTCCCTGTTGTTGCAGGGACATCCTTGAGGACTCTCCCTTAACATTCCCAAGAACAGCTGGATGAGGGAGCCATGGGAGTCTCAAGGGACAGTGAGATGAAGAAGAGCAGCAGGTGGGTCCTGTGGGGTGTGGCAGGGGATTTTAGGGGCTCCAGCATTACCTGATCACTCTGGATTTCCTGGGAATTTCAGGCCTAAAGGGATCAAGCAGAAAAATCCCTCTAAATTTCCTTTTGGGTGCCCTGGAAATCAGGGTTGGGCAGTGTGGGATCACACGCTGGATTATTTTCCCCACTAAGGGGTTTGCTGTGGGTATTCCCTGCTTGGCTTCGGTGGGATCAATTTTTCCTTGTCCCCAGGAAGCGAAAGAAGGAGCTGGAGAAAGGGCAGGAGGTGCCAAAGGAATTCAGGACAAAGATTGGGAAGAAGGAGCCGGAATGTTCAGTGCAGGTACCTCTTTATTCCCCACTGGGGTGACCCTGGTGACTGTCCCAAAAGTTTTATGGAGGGGAAAAAAAACAACCCTATGGCATGAACTTCCTTCTCCCTCACACTGCTCCATCCTGGTGCAAAGTTCCCTGTAGGAAAAGGGAAGAAGAAGGAGAAACCACCAGAGGTCGAGGAGAAGCCGCTGCAGGAGAACGTCATCAGCAGGTGAGTCCTGGGGACTCCACCCAGGGAGGAGATGGGATCTCCAGGGCTCTGCTCCCTCCAGCTGGGATCATCCCATGGGAATGTCGTGTCCAGCTCTGCTTCCCTTGTGCTGCCTGGATCGTCAGAATGGTTTTTAATTGGGAGAAATAAAGGCATGGAGGGACAGGACAAGGGGGGATGGGCTTAAAATGAAGGAGAGAGGGTTTAAGTTGGATGTTGGGAAGGAATTCTTGGCTGGGAGGGTGATGAGGGGCTGGGATGGCATTCCCAGAGAAGCTGTGGCTGCCCCATCCCTGGAAGTGTCCAAGGCCAGCTTGGAGCAACCTGGACTAGTGGGGGGTGTCCCTGCCCATGGAATGAGATGATCTTAAGGTTCCTTCCAACTCAAACCATTCCACGATTCCTAAAAAACGTGTTTTCCTTCTGTCTCCTCCATGTCCAAGAAGCTCCCTAAAGCAGGAGGCTGCAGGAGGGAAAGGTCTTGGCTCAAGCCCGTGGAATGGGATCCAAGCTGAGGAAGGAGCTGCCCCGGGCTCGGTACGTGGTGGTCTCGGAGCTGAAGGATTTGGGAGCACTCCTGTGGTTTGTTCCCGAGGGATCTGTGCTGGTGGTGTCCTACAGCCTTGAGGATGTGGGAAAGCCCCTAAAAGGGATATTTGGAGTGTTTGGAGTTAAATTAAGGAGTAAATTCCCTGTGGGGTTGGATCAGTCACATTTTGGTGTTTTCCCGGGAGCACCAGGGCATGGGGGACTCTGTCACTTCCCAAGCATAATGTTGGGATTGGTCTCATCCTGCAGCATCTTTCCTGAGGGATTTGATCTTCCTACCCCATCCCTGGAAGTGTCCATGGCCAAGTTGGACAGAGCTTGGAGCAACCTGGAATAGTGGGAAGTGTCCCTGCCTATGGCAGGAGGTTGGAACTGGATAATCTTTAAGGTTCCTTCCAACCCAAACCATTCCATGATTTTTGGCTGATCCTGGCCAATTCCTACAACATTTTGCTTTGTCCACATTAACATTTCCCACTTTTCCTCTTGTGGAAAACCAGCAGAGAGGCTTTTTTTCCCAACAGGATCTAAAATGTCAGCAAACTCTTTCCTGGCTGGAAAAACTGAAACCACAGCCTGGAAACCCCCCCCCCGGGGGGGAGGGGGGGCTGTGATCCATGTCCTGCTGTTCCTGGTGCAAACATCAGGAATCCACAGGCAGGATTTACTTTGGAAGGTCATGGTTCCTGAATTTCCCAATGTGATTCCTACCAGCAGCCGTAGGATTGTGAATCCCAGAGCAGGAATATTCCCAGGGAACGAAAGTTTATGTTGTCCTAACCAACCTCTAATTAACTGAGGTTTTGATTCCCCCTTTAATGAGTTCACCCAGCAGCTGCTTTCAAGAAAAAACCCTCTGTGGTTTTGGGGTTCCTTTGAAAGAGAAACTCGGGAAGGTGGAATTTCTAAGGAGAGGCTGGATGCTTGGAGAGGGTTGGAGGAGCTTGGGATGGGTTTCAGGGTGTCTGGTGTGGTCAGGAGCTGAAAAAAATCTGGTTTCAGCTTTGAGAATGAGTGTGCAAACACTATAATAAGATTCCTGGTGGCCTCCAAGGGGTTGATTTTAGGGTTTGTGTCCCCTCTGAGCTCATTTGCTTCCAGGTTCCGTCCCAATTTTCCTTCTATTTTGTCCCTTTCTTGTGTTTCCCACCCTGTGGCTTTGTCCTCATCCCTTTTTCCCTCTTGCCATCTGCTCCAAGGGTGATTTCCCATCCTAAGGGCCAAGCTGGCACTTGATGCATCTTTATTATGGAGCCATCCCATTCCTATTAGTCCTGGAATTCTATCCCAGCAGTGAATCCAAGGAGCAGGTGGTTGAGGAGGGGTAGAGCTCTCGGGTTTTTACTCCATAAAATACTTTAATAGTGTTGTTGGAAGGAAGGCAGGGATTTCCTAACCCCAGAAAAACCTCAAGGCTTGGAAAATCTTGGCTGGTTTGGGCTCCTGGTTTCCAGCCAAGGAGGCCAAGGAAGGGGAAACCGGTGGCAGGATGAGGGGCTGGGTGATTTTTGGGAGTGATGCTGCTCTTGGGATACCTGTTCCAGGTCACCTTTCCCAATATATTCCAGGAGGAGACCAAAGCAACCCTTCCCCAAGGGCCATCCGTGGAGCTCCAAGACTCTTCAGGGTGAGTTGGGTCACTTTTTGGGATGATTTTTACCTGGAGAATTGGGAATTTTGTCCTTTTTCTTCTTTTTTTTTTCTGAGGTTGCACAGCCCTGGGTCACCAAAACCAGCAGTTGGTGCCTCCACTGAGCAGCTTCACCGGTGACACCTTTCCAAAAACATCCCGAGGGGGATTTAAGGCCCAATCCTGGGATTTGAGGGTGGAGAAGGAATGTCCTGCCCCATCCAAGCTCCCTGAGTCAGCAGGGTGGGATTGCTCAGCTGCAAACACCTCTGGAAACAGAGAGCTGGGAACAACCAACCTCCCAAATCCTGGGAAAAGGCTGTTCCTTCCCTCTCCCTGGGCTAGATCTGGGCGGAGATAAGAAGCTGAACTCAGACTAAAGCTGGGCCTAAGCAGGCTAATCCTCTCTTGCCTCTTCAAAATTCCCACTGAGAGGCCTTTAATGAGACCTCTGGAAGAAGGAGCCGATCCCAGAAAGTGGCAGGAAGGACTTTGCCTCCTGAGTCACGGATCTGTTAATGAGATTGGAAGGGCTGAACTTGTTTTCCTGGGATATTTTTCCCTAAGGAGTTTAGTGGGGATGGCGTGACGTGCGTTCCAGCTGGAAAAAGCAGCTGGCTCCTGGTTTGTTTTTTTTTTTTCTTGGGAAATTTGTTTCCATCCCAAAAATTCCTGTGCCCTGTGTTGTCCCACATTAAGGTAACTAAGGATCAGCCTAAATTAATATGGAGAAAAGGGCCAAAAATCTCACTTTCTCTTGTAGAAACTGTGTGGGATGTTTTGGATAAAAGCAGGAATTTGTGGCTCTTCTGTTTGGGCTCCCCTGGAATTCCAGGAGAGCCATCCCATCCCTTCTGTTGAGCCTCCTCCTTGGGAGCGGGAATGTGGTTTTCCAGCTCCTTTCTGGGTAGGATCAGGGCTGTGCTTCCAAAGTGGTCCTGCTGAGGGGTGCCAGGAGCTGGGAAAGGCAGGGAATGGGGCTGATCCATGGGCTGAGCTCAGCTCCAGCCTTGTCCAGCAGGGAGAACTTTCCTGGGAGGTGACAATGATTCCAAAGGGACAGAAACAAGTTTCCATGTGGACATGGAGGCACAGTCACCTCCAGCCTGGAATCACAGAGGTTGGAAAAGACCCCAGATTTCCATGTGGGACCAGGGGACACCATCACCTCAACCCTCATGGAATCATTAAGGTTGGAAAAGACATCCAGGATCATTGAGTCCAAGCACTAACCCATGTCCCCAAGTGCCACATTTACGTTTCCTGGACGCTTCCAGGAGGGATGGTGATTCCAGCACCTCCCTGGGCAGCCCATTCCAATGCTTGCCCACCCTTCCAGTGAAGAATTTTCCCAATATCCATCCTAAATCCACCCTGTGGAGATGTAGCCTTGGTTTAGGCTGTGCTTGCTACTCCTTCCTTCCTATTTTGCTTGGAATTTTTTCGGGGGGAACCAGAGCAGCTCCAAGATGATGTTCCCAATTCCCTGCCTGGCTCAGAGAAACCTTGGGAGGAGTTATTTTATAGGGACAGGTTGTGCATTGTAATCTTTCCCAAATCCCAAAGAAATCCCAAAAATTCCAGTGGTCTCTGTGCTGAGCAGGGAAACATTCCTACGTTCCCCACCCATATTGTGGATGGAAGGAATCGTGGATCTGGACACTCCTTGTCCTGCAGCTTGTTGTGGAAGTTGTGTCCTTCCCCGTCCTTCCCCGTCCTTCCCTTCCCATCCTCAGGCTGCCTTGGGATGAAGGAGCTTGTCCCCACAATCCCAGTGATCCCATTTCCTCCTCCACTGTATCCATGGTATCCAACCTGATCCTGCCTGTCCCGTGTGCTGTTGGTGCTCCCAAACCTTGTAAACTTTTCCCCTGAGGTTTCTCTGGGAATATTCCCTTGGAATATCGCCTGTTTGGTCTGGAGACCTTGTGGTCCTGCTTTTTTTTGAGCTTCCTCATCCCATCAAATCCACATGGGATAAAACGTGGATATTTGGGATATCTCCACATGCCATAACACCTGTGGAACTTCCCTGGAGGAGAAACAAGGACTTGTCTGGGAGCAATTCCCTAATTTTGGATGGAAGAGGTGGAGCTGGTACTCCCCAAGGTGGTGAGAAGTGGCTGGAATTTCGTTGTAGGTCCCAGGACAAACTCTGGGAAGCAGGACCTGCAGTGGGACAGCAGCTCTTGGAGAGCCAGCATGGAATTGGGGTAGGAAATCTGGGAAGAATGACACTCCCTGGACCTGATCCTGCATGGAATACATCCCTCAGTCACTCCTGGGCTTTGGGATAACCTCTCTCCTTTCCCAACCTCAACATTCCTTCCCTTCTGGCTGCTTCCCACAGATCCCAAAGCCAAGTGATGGTGTTGCTGGTGGGATTTCCTCCCCCTCTGGAGATCCTGGGAATTTGGAGATGGATTTGGAGCTCGCAGATGTGAGGGAGGAGGAGGAGAAGGAGCTGGATCCCCCTGTCCCACAAAAGGAATGGGATTCCCAAGTCTTGAAAAGCAAAAAAAAGGGAAGAGAGAAGAAACAAGAAGAAAAGAAGGAGCAGGAAAAGGGATTGAAGAGGAAAAGAGGGAGGAAGAAGGATAAACTTGGGAATGGGATTGAGGGAATTGAGGAGGAGGAGGGTGATGGGGGCAGGAAT